GAGCAGGGAGCGCGATACGGGGCTCGATCCCAGGACCCTGGGATCATGACCTGAGCCGAAAGCAGATGCTTAACGACTGAGCCACCCAGGCGCACTTAAATATTTCTTGTAAAAATCCCACAAAATATCAGGAATTTACCCAATCTCAGAATATTCTTTGGATACTCTTTAAATGTTTAAACTTGGGGCGCCTGGGTGGCTTAGTCGTTGAGTGTCCAACTCTTCATTTTGTCTCAGGCCATGATCTTAGGGTTGTGAGATGGAGCTCCACATCGGTCTCTGCCTTTAGCAGGGAGTCTGCTTAGGATTCTCTCTCTGCCTCTGCCCCTCCTCCCACTCATGTGTGCACATGCTCTCTCTCTCTCTCTCTCTTTCTCAAAAAAAAATAAGTAAATTGTTAAAAATAAATAAATAAACATTTAAGCTTTGGTGCAGGAAAGCACAATTCAAGTTTTCTACGCTGAGACTTAATCTACTTTTTAAAAAAATTTTTTATTTTGAAACAATTATGGTTAATCCACTTAAATGTTCGCTGTCTTAGGCCCATTTAATTAGATTTAATCCTGTTGGTCCCTTTGAACTCATAAATGTTTCAGTTAAATCTCATCACATTTTCTTAAATGATTGTTTCTTTCAAAAGGAGGAGAATAATGTAATTCCTGTTGATCACCTGGGCCAGAAACTCTTGAAAAAGATAGGAACGTCTTGGAACAAGAAGTACAAAAAACAGTATGGACCACTGCGAAAGGTAATACATGACATCCATACAGGAGGTCCTGTGCCAGGAAATTTTATTATGATCCCTTTGCAATGAAAATTTAGGTGAAAATAAAATCAGTATTTTTATTTAATGGTTAAAGTTCAATTAAGTTACTTATTAAATGTTATTAAGTAATTTATCATAGAATCAAGAAGTAGAAAAAGAAGAGGGGAAAGGCTTGTAATACAACAGCAAAAAATGTCATGAAGTTCATACCATAAAGCTCATCATTTTACTTACAGAAATGTTTTAAGGCGTTCCCGCAGTTTTCCCTTGATCTTTCTTTTACACATAATCCTGTTAAATTTGGTGATCAGGTTTCCTGGGCTGTGAGATTAGATGCAAAAACTGAACACAGGTCAGACAACTTGACTGAAAACAAACACAGCAACACTTAGTAAATATTTTTATTTACTTATAGAAGCAAGGAGCTTACACACTTCAGTAAGTATTTAAGTGCATCTTTTAATTAGACCACACTTCAGAAATGAATGTTGGCTTAATGACTCTGAGTCCATAGCATAAGTTTTAAGGTTTTCATTTAAAATGATTGGGTCACTGTCTCAGTATTTTACTCTTAAGCGTGATATTAGCTGTGCAGGTTTTTTAAAAATATAAATAGCCTTTATAAGTTTGAGAGAGTTAGCTTTTTTTAATTGCTGACTGATAGTTTCATCTTCAATAGAGGTTGGATTTTATCAAATGCTGACTGTTTTTATACCCTTTATTCTGTTAATGTGGTGAATTCCATTGACCTTTTTAATGTTGAGCAACTCATATTTCTGAGATAAATCCCACTTGGTCATGAAATTTTAATGTATTGCTACATTCATTTGGCCTGTATTTAGGATTTTTGTTTCTACATTTGCCAGAGATACTAGTCTTTGGTTTTCTTTTTTTGTAATGTCTTTGTCAGATTTTAGTGTCAGGGTTATATAGGACTCAGAAGTCGGGAAACACTCCTTTATATTCTTGGAACGAATTCTCTAAGACTGATTTTTTTTTTCTTAAATGTTTGGTGAAGCTACTGAGACCTGAAAATTTTTTTATTTTATTTTAATTCCAGTGTAGTTAACATACAGTGTTCTATTAGTTTCAGTTGTACAACATAGGGACTCAACAGTTCCATAGGTTACTCAGTATTCATTGTGATAAGTATCCTCTTCATCCCCTTCATCTGTTTCCCCTGTCCCCCTACCCACCTCCCCTCTGGTGACCATTAGTTTGTTCTCTCTAGTTAAGAGTCTATTTCTTGGTTTGTCTCTTTTTTTTTCCTTCATTTGTTTTGTTTCTTAAGTTCCACATATGAGTGAAATCATGGTATTTGTCTTTATCTGAGTGGCTTATCTCTCTTACCATAATACACAGCAGCTCCATCCATATTGTTGCAAATGGCAAGATTTCATTTTTTTTTAATGGCTGAGTGATATCCATTGTATGTAAATACCATATCTTGATCCATTCATCTGTTGACGGACGCTTGGGCTGCTTCCATATCTTGGCTATTGTAAATAATGCTGCAATAAACACAGGGGTGCATGCATCCCTTCAAATTAGTGTTTTTGTGTTCTTTGGGTAAATACAGTAGTGTGATTACTGGATCGTAGGGTAGTTCTGTTTTTAACTTTTTGAGGACCCTCCATACTGTTTTCCACAGTGGCTGCACCAGTGTGCATTCCCACCAACAGTGCACCAGGGTGCCTTTTCCTCCACGTCCTTGCCAACACCTGTTGTTTCTTTGTGGTTTTTATTTTAGCCATTCTGACAGGTGTGAGGTGATATCTCATTGTAGTTTTGATTTGCATTTCCCTGGTGATGAGTGATTTTGAGCATCTTTTCATGTCTCTTGGCCATCTGGATGTCTTCTTTAGGGAAATGTCTGTTCATGTCTTCTGTCCATGTTATAATTGGATTGTTTGATTTTTTTGGTGTTTCATTATATAGTTCTTTGTATGTTTTAGATACTAAACCTTTATTGGGTACGTCATTTGCAAATATCTTCTCCTATTCAGTAGGTTGTCTTTTATTTTTGTTGGTTGTTTCCTTTGCTGTGCAGAAGCTTTTTATTTTGAGGTAGTCCCAATAGCTTATTTTTGCTTGTTTCCCTTGCCTTAGGAGACCTATCTAGAAGGATGTTGCTACGATCAGTGTCAGAGAAATTACGGTGCTTGTGCTCTCTTCTAGGATTTTTATGATTTCAGGTCTCACAATTAGGTCCTTAATCCATTTTGAGTTTATTTTTGTGTGTGGTGTAAGAAAGCGATCCAGTTTCATTCTTTTGTATGTCACTGTCCAGTTTTCCCAGCACTTATTTGTTGAAGAGGCTGTCTTTCTCCCATTGCATATTCTTGCCTCCTTTGTCGAAGATTAGTTGACCATGTAATTGTGGGTTTATTTCTAGGCTTTCTGTTCTGTTGAGACCTGAAATTTTTTTTGGAGTGAGGTTTTTTAATTATAGTTTAAATTTCTTTGATTATAGTGTTATTTAGATTTTCTGTTCTTGCATTATTTTGGAAAATTGTGTTTTTTAAGGATTTTGTTCTTTTATCTATGATGTCAGATTTATTGGCATAAAGTTATTCACAGTATCCCGTATTCTCTGTAGTGTCTGCAGTACCTGAAGTTATTTCTTCTTTTTCATTCCTAATATTAGTAATTTGTAATTTTTCACCTTTTTTTCATCAGTCTTGCTTGGGGTCTATCAAGTTTATTAAACTTTTTAAAAAACAAACTTTTGCTTCTGTTGATTTTCTCTCTTGCTCATCTGTTTTCTATCATTGATTTCTGCTCGTTTTTAATTATTTCCTTCCTTTTTCTTCTGGGATCTAATTTGATCAACTTTTTTCTAGCTTGGTATCTTAGTTGTTTTTAAACCTTCCTTTTAATACAAGCTTTTAAAGCTATAAATTTCCTTGTAAGGACTAATTTAGCTGCAGACAAGTCTGACATGTTTTCATTATCATTCCATTCAAAATATTTTGTAATTTCCCTCATGATTTTTTTTGGAACTGTGTTGCTTAATTTCCAAATATTTGGGGATTTCTTTTTATTTTTTTGTTTTATCTATAAGTTGATTTCTAGTTAATTCCATTGTACTCTGAGAACATGCTCTCCATGATTTTAGTTCTTTTGAATTTATTGAGACTTGTTTCACACTTCAGAATATGGTCTGTGTTGCTGAAAATTCTGTATTCACCAGAAAAGTTATTTTTTGCAGTTGTTGGGTATATTGTTTTATAAATGTCAACTATGTCAAATTGTTTAATAGCATTTGTGTTTCTTTTCTGTCTTTACTAATTTTTCTCTTTTGCTTTTATCAGTTACTAAGGGAGTAGTTTAAATCTCCAACTGTAATCGAGAATTCGTCCTTTCCCCCTTTTACTTTGGACAGTTTTATTTCATGTACCCTGAATTGATAGTATTAGATGCATACACCTTTTGGATTTTTATGGCATCCTGATGTACACTGCCCTTCCTTTATCTCTGCTAGTATTCCTTGCCTTAAAATATATCTTGTCTGATATTAATGTAACCCTGCAAGCTTTTTTATACAAGTGTGTCTCTTGCAAACAGTATGAAGTTGGTTCTTATTTATTTTGGACAGTTGTGATTTTTAAGTAATGTATTTTTCTATTTAAAGTAAAATTTGTTGGGGTGCCTGGGTGGCTCAGCTGGTGAAGTGTCTGCCTTCAGCTCAGGTCATGATCTCAGGGTCCTGGGATCGAGTCCCACGTCGGGCTCCTTGCTCAGCGGGGAGTCTGCTTCTTTGTCCCTCCCCTGGTTTGTGCTCTCTCTCTCTCACTCTCTCTCTGTCTAAATAAATAAATAAAATCTTTTTTAAAAAAGTTTGTTAGCATAAAGTTGTTTGAAATATCACCATATTATCCTTATGAAGTCCATAAGAGCAGATGTTATGTTCCCTGTTTCATTTCTGATATTGATCATTTGTGCGTTTTAGCTTTCTTTTTCATCAGTCTTGCCTAGGGGTTTATCACATCTGTTAAACTCTTCAAAAAAGCAGCTATGTATTTGTTGATTCTTCTCTACTTTTCTCTGTTCATCTGTTTCCTATCAGATGATTGATAGTTTCTTTTAATTAGAATGTTTAGTCCATTTGGTTTTAATGCAGTAATTAATATGGTTGAGTTTGAATTTACCATCAAGGTATTTGTTTTTTATTTGCCTCCTCTGTTTTTTGCTCCTTCATTCTTCCTCACCCTTTAGGTTAATCAAGTGATTTTTAGTCTTTCATCTTTATCTCCTCTGTTGGCTAATATATTGCAATATTTCTTTAATATTTTTATTCTAGGGATTATAGTGTACATAAATCAACATTACCAACTACGGATTAATAGTATACCATTTCCTGAACAGTGTAAGATGCTCGCAGTGGTATAACTGCGTTTCCCCACTCCCATCCTATCTGCTGTTGCCTTTTATTGAACCATGACATGTAAATTCTACTCTGTGTTACTTATTTTTATTAATATTATTTCTGCTTTAAACACTTAGGCAACTTTTAAAGAAATTAATGGAAAAATAGTGTTTTATATTTATCCATTCTGGTGTTCATTGCTGCTTTTCACACATTCAGCTGTGCATCTAGTATAATTTCAATTTTGATTGAAATCTTTATTTTGTCTTCAGTTTTTATAAAGGATATTTTTGCTGGATATAAAATTCTAGTTTAATAGTTTTTATTTTTTCCTTTCAGCAACTTAAAAGATGTCATTCCATTATGTCTTGGCTTCCATTATTTTGGCTCAGAAGGCTAGTGTCACTTGAACATAATGTGTCTTTTTCTCTGCCTGCTTTTAAGATTTTTTCTTTTTTTGTTTTCTAGCTTCTTAACAATAATGTGTCCCAGTGTGGTACTCTTTGTGTTTATTTGCTTTGTATTAAGTTTTTTATATGTATAGCTTGAAGTCTTTCTTTAATTTTGACCATTATACTTTCAATTTGGTTGTCTGCCCCATTATTTCTTTCTTCT